GAGGATTTTTAGGGTCTAAATTTAGGATTTAGGTACCACTCACAATGATTATAAATTCAATTGTGGATCTAATCTCTTATATATTTTTCCTTTGATTTTCCTCTTCACAGATTCCTCAATGATAAATAAGGAAATTTTAAATGCTGACCCATGAGTATTCGTAAGACTTAATTAGTTTTTGGTACGGCATTTCACTATGTTGCAAACTCCCACATCAGGAACAATATAGTTGAGACCACAATTTGGTCTAAACTATCTGTTTTAAAACTTCCTGAACCTTAAATAAAACAGTTTTGCTGTCAGTGGGGGTTGTTTTGAATGTACTTAATCTTAATTAACACTTCATTAATGGTGGGATGTTTGATTTTCTCTGTCTTATTTTTTCAATCCTTTGAGTTTAGCAGTATTGCTCACTCTCTTGAAAAGCTAACAAGTATTCTAGTACATGTCTGTTACTTCATTTTGTGTAAAAACAGTAACAGAAGTTATGGATTGTATCTCCTCAAGATATGGAATTCTAACAAACAGCTATAGTTACCTATATGGTAAATGTGAGGAGTTTTCAGGTAGACTATTCATTGGTATATGTAGTTCTTCCCTCCTTGAGCAATCAACAATGTTAGAATAACCTATAAAGAACAGGAGTGCTTGATGACATTTACCAGGCCCTGCTACTCTGCAGACTGATCACAGTCTTACAGTGATGCCATTAAAATGAATAATACCATTTAAATCAGAAGAAAGAATCAGTGATGTCAGCAACAAGCTGTGCTTGTGCAGACGTATTGGTTTTGACTTGCCTTTAGCTAACCTGTTCTTGATGTTCTTCTCAGAGGCCAAGAGAATATTTATTTAGTCAATTATTTATTTTTGCTTTCCTGAGTATTATTTTTCTTCCTGGGAGTTTGGGAAGCCCCCTAATACAGATGATCTTCAGTCTACTATGCTAGAAGCAGGTCCAAGAAGCTGTCCTATGTGTAAGTTGTAGAAGCAGCTGGGATCTTGGCAGCATTGGTGGCTGTAGCTGCATGCCTGACTTGAAAGCGCTCAGAGAGAGTATGTTGGTTTAGGAACCCAAGTACACAGTGCTGCAGGACTCTCCCTGGTGATAGAATGAGTACCTGAACTGTGACTGTAGGCTGTGAAAGGTGAAGTTTTATTAACCTACAGGTTGTTTATGGGCTTTTTGTCATATCATTGTTAGAGTTACTAAAATATAAAGTTATTTTGGAAGTATTTTTAAAAATAAACTAGAGTTAAAGAATATAAGATATACTTCCTGTATGTTTTCAAGAACAATGACAACTAATTAATAAAGACAAATGTTAACTGGTAGATCTTCAATAGCTAGAGACTTGTGATTGTAATGATTTGTAAAATCTGAATGCTTGTAAACAATACAATATAAATCTAATGCAGTAATGTACTGAGTGAATACATGAACTTCTACTGCTTGGATTCTCTAAAGCGTAACCTATTACTGTAACTAAGAGTAACTATTACTTTTATTCAAAAGAATACTGTTTTTTTTAATAATATGTTTGCAGCAATATTAAAACATCTCATCACTGCACTCTGTTCTTGCAAATAAATATATGAAAGTGCTGTCAGACCATATGTGCTTAATGTGTACTTGAAAACTCACTCTCTTATTTTTGGAAACTACCTTTGATAAATGTTTAGTCTCTACATAAAGCATATATTTGTATTTTTTCATAGTTTGGAAATGAAAGTAAATGTTAACACTACATCTTCACATCATGTAACTGACTTGATTTACATCAGAAAATTATTTCAGAGTTTGCTTTTTTTAAGCTTACCTTAATTTTACATGAGTTTAATTCCAGAAAAGCTTCCAGGCAGTGTGTCTGTTCATATGTTTAGATTTATTTTTTTTTTCTGAATACAATGGGAGTCCAAGGTATTTTAGTTCTTCAGTAACAGGTTATTTGCTGTATTTTAAAATATCTATCTTTTAAATGGTTTCTTAAAAACTGGTTGGAGCAACTGAAACCAATATAGTATCTACCTTCCTGTTAACCAATGGACTAAGATGAGCCTAAAGTGTTCTGTGACTTGGTAGCTCCCTGCATTCATATTACTGGACAGGGTGCAGGCTGGTGAAAAGCACATTCATCTTAGGAAGGCAACTTGAGTTTACAAATACTATCTATCCTTAAAAATGGCATTCTTTCTGGGAAGAATCCTGTGATCATTTTTCATCTGTCTTTACAGTTATGTAAAGCATAGAGGTGAGTCTGTTAAGGTAGAGCGCAGACTTCAGGTTTTTTCTGTTATATTTGAAGTCTCCTTACCTCCCCTTCGGCCTTGGATTTTTTTCCACACAGTGTGAATGAGATGTGAACATACTATTAATTATAAGGCTAAATTTAGGTCCATGCTATGCTAGACATTGTTGAGGACTGCATGACTGTAAAGTTAGACTGCTGAGATAGTATCTGGCATCCAGCAGGATTAAAGCTGGTGTTTTTTACAGGGAGGGTGATATCCTAAATTGTCTTTTATGTTTCAAGTATAATCTGCTAGGGTGATTTCTGCATCTGTTATTTTTATTTGCAAGTTTGCTTTGAGAGGCTCTCAAATGTAATAATTATTCTTCTTATTATTATTATTATTTGTTTGAACAGATTGGATTTGAACACTTGGAATGTGAAGTTTCAGACTACTTAACACTTTTTCTTTCATGTATGTATAGTTAAGAGTATCATTAGACATGTAAAAACATATTAATCCCCATGTTGGCATGATGATTTAAAGCTGAGAGAGGAGAGAGGTCCTAATGATAACAGAGAGGAAAGCATTGCCATTTTTAGTGAGAGATTGAACATAAAAGGCAGATGGAAGGGTTAGACTTAACAGTGATATGTGAGAAAGGCTGAAAGGAAAATGAAGATATTCTTATGGGGAGACTGAGATATGGTCCAGAAATCTAAAGGAAGTAATTTAAGTTGAGAAAGGGGGCAAAGGGGAAGAGTTCAATGACCACATAGGACTGATTATAAATGTAGAAAGTGGATAAAGGGTTTGCTGAACCTCAGTTGGAAGGTCAGTATCTGTCAGGAAAGGATACAGTACCTCAACCAGGAAAAAATTTACCTACAAGACATTATTTTCATGACAATATTTTGCTGAAAAGGGAATAAATGGTAATATACAATTTTCAGAGATTTCCATAGTGGTTTGCCACAAGTAGCAATGCTTATACAAATGAGCAAAGCATTGTGTTTTAAGAATTTTTTTTTTTTTTTTTTTTTAATGGAATGCGTTGTTTCATAATTTAGTACATTCTCAAGCTGAAGTATGGTCCCCTGATTCATAGCTTCAGACTGTAGAAAAAATATAAATTTTTATAATGATAAATTACTGAAATTTTAGAAACTATGCTATTGTAAAATTGGTGACCTCTCACTGCTTGCTACTGTTCAGATTCCATTACAACATTTGGACATGAAAATATACATAATATATATAATATAGATGTTATTCTATAAAAATGTGTTGATTTATCTACAGCTTTTAAGAAACTAGTACAATCCGAAGCCTTAAACCTGCATTAAACTGGCCTCATTTTATTGGTCCTTCATATTTATTACATTAACAAAAATTAAATACCTTGTCCACTTGATTTTAGCATTTCATCACTCAGTCAGAAGGTTGTCCTGTGTTCTTTACCAGATGTTTTATCTGAAATGGGAAAGGAAAAGAGAAAGAGAACAAGAGGAAGCTATGAAGTAAATTATCAACTATTATTTTCATTTTTCAATAAATAAAAATCATTACTATATCATACTGACTAAATTACAAAAGTTCTGAAAATTCCGAGTCAATCACCTTTAAACTTTTTTACGAGGGCAAACTTTTGTACCTCCAAATAATGCAAAATATTGAATAAATTAAATAATCTTTAAATAATATATTGCTAAATTAAATATAAATTAAATAACATTTAAAAGAATATAGTCTATTCCTCAGGCTAATCTGTTGATGAGCTTACTGACTGCATAAATTATTCCATTCCTAGATTTTGGCATAGACATTATAGTAAGATATGCTTCCAGAAAATCAGAGAGAGAGAGATATGTTAAAATTCAAGGGCATCTGGAGTTGTCACTAAGATTTGAAGACTGAAAATGAGAATACTGAAAGCAATCCTAACACTAAGCCTTTCAAGATGATATGGTACATATGCAAGATTTCATGCTGGTCTTTCAAATAGAACCAAGAGAATTGATTTACTATCAACTTGTTCAACATGAATTAAACAAACATGTCAGCAGAATAACAACACTCATACTGTAAATAGTATGTCCTTCTGTTAATACAGGTAGAGAGGTGTTGCTCTGCATAATTTCTGGTCTCCACATAGTACAATATTGAAAGAGTACAGAAACTGTTGTAAATTCCTCATGAAACGCAAGTGTAAGTCTGTTTACTATTCAATGTGATTTACTGCAGTTACATAAGCTTACTCCTTCCTCCACACTTTTTGTAGAAGGTACAGGGCATTTAGACAAATAATTCAAACTTTTTATTCAGTTAGTGCAGAATAACTTGTATGTAGAATTAGCACCTATATTTTTAGATCTTCTTTTAAGGTGTATAGTCTGGGGTCTTTTTGTATATTTTAAGAATACTAAATTAAGATTTGAAATGAAGATGAAAATTGCAAGGAGATTATAATCAAATAACACTTCAAAACTGAAAATGGTGTAAATTTATCTGCTATTTTATATAATAGATGCAAGGAAGACCTGCTGTGCAGATTATGCCACCACTCCCTATTTCTCCACGGATAAACACTCAGTTAAATATAGATGATTTTGTGACAGTACTGAGGTAAACCAAATCAGATTTTATTACACAGAATGGGAAATCTGTAGCCTATACTAATGATGATTGTGATATTTACTGTGTTCTTGTGTATAATACATTTAAACCCCCCCAATATTTTCATGTAAAGCACAATTGGAGAGCCTGATTACCACAAAATGCTATCAACTGTTTGCATATATTAGTATACTCATTTGCATACCTTTGAGAACAGTTGATGAATCACTTTGCTCGCACATAAACCTGATTTGTAGTACGTTTTAGAAGTCAACTGTTTACATTCTTTAGATTTTAGTTACATTTAGATCTTCACAAAGATTTACATACTTTATGTCCAAAGGTCTCAATATTTGCAAAGGTAAGAAATTGAAAAAAATGCATTCAGGAAAGTAATTCTTACTGAATGCTAATGTTTGTTATAAAGTTGGAGCTTCCTGTTCAGTGATGTCATTTTTAAACTCCCTGTCTTCCCTTCCCTACCCTGATGGGTTTTATCATTTTGGAGTGTAGCATGCTCAGTAGAAATACAAATATCTGCTTAGCCAGAATGGTTTTATTAGCGCTGTTTTCATTACTTTAGTCAAATAGTTTAGACACGTAAAATGAGCATTGCTCAGTTTAGTAGGGTTTTTTTTATTATTATTATTTGCACAGTATTGTAACATGCACTTTTTATAATCTACATAGAATTACTTGTTGGAATGCAGTTTGGCTCTGTCTTCACTTGTGCCCTCTTCCTTTTTAACCACAAGTACATATTTTATGTGTTAGTTACTGGCTTGCTTGGCATCTATTCCTGGTTTCAGATTTGGTTTGTCCTTACCCCCACTGCCTCTCTTCTGTATTGGGCTTGGACAGAAATTAAAAAGCTTATTTTGGGAGCTTCACCTACAGTTTGTTTTCTCAAGTCTTCATTAGTTTGCTCTTTAATTGATTTCTTAGGATTTTTATGCTTCCTTCAAGCAGCTGACATATAGAAGTGGATGTCTGGGTCTTTAGTAATACTAAATGAAGTTTTGACTATTAACTTTTCGCTATTAGATTGACAGTGCCAGTTTAGACACTGATGATTTGCATGACTACTAATCCAACCAATGTGAATTTGGTGTTATACTAGCTAAAGTTGTGTATCAACATTACATTGTTATCAGGAATTCTACCAGCATTTGATTGCTGAGGCAATATAGTAATAATGACATTCCGCAGTATTTGTTTGCCTAACCTTCAATAGCTGGCCTCTTGGGAAGAACACTGAGGACATCAGACATACAGTAGAAAGTGTGAACTCTCAAACTGCTTCTCATCCTGCCTACTTGTTAAACTGTCTCAACTCACGAGGGGGACTGAGTAATTAAAAGTAGCTTTCACTCAGTTTTATGAATTCTGATATCTAATAGGAAAGAGTCTAGAAAAGCAACCCCACAACTGCCTAGGAAATAATCAGAAATAATACTATTTCATTAATAACTTTTAAGAACAGCTGCTTAGAACAAGCACTGACACCTAAAATTATTTTCAGAGTTCCGCACACTCCCCCCCCGTCACATAAATCTTGCTTTGCAGCTTTTCTTGTTTCATTTCTTCACCCAATAATTTTTCCATAATTTAACAGCTTTCTTCCAACTTCTAAACTATTTTAGTTTTGAATAGATTGTTCTTTGCACACTGTTCTTCCCACACAAGTTGAAAATCTTACCTCTTCTTAGAATTGTAGATATTTGATTTTGCATTCTCTTTAATAAAGAGAAGTCCTGACAATTTTTTCTGTAGATTATGTCAATCCATACCAGACTGGTAGAAGTCCTTTCATACCCCCATTGGAATATAAATTGTATTTTTTTCCTTCAGTGTATTTTTGCACACACATACATTATCGATCAAGATATTGGATTGAGTATATGAAAGAGTAAAGTGCACCAAAGCATTCTGAATTATTTACTTGTAGATTTTACAATATAGCCTGTAATACTAAATGAAAAGCATAGCTGGCATTTCCACTTTCATACTAATAACCTTCAATAGACATTATTTTATATTATTCTTTAGAAATGCTAACAAGAAACAAAACAGAAGGTAAATATATTGGAATGTGAGTAGTTGCTGCTGTCCTTTAGACATAGCCCTTATCCTTGGACAATGTACAGGATCTCCAATGTTTACATTGGTTATTAGCTGTACTTGCTTTGCTAGTTTCATTCTAGAGACAAAACTATCATTCTTTCTATTTCAAATGACACATAACAACAGGTATAAAAAAAATGGCTGTAGTCTTCTTCCTTTCATAAAAGTACTGTCTCATTGCCTTTCCCCTTTTTAAGAACCCTGATAATAAAGCTGAATTGTAGTTCCTTTCTTTAGGCAGGTGATTAAACATTCTCACCATTATATAATACAATTTCCATTTTATTTTAAACATACTTTGCATGATATAAAAATATTGATCACAGTGAGCTTTAACAATTGTTACTGCTATAAACAGAAATGCTGCACAATGGTTTTAGTGGAAATAAATTATATAGTCATTATCTCTTTAAAAAAAAAAATCACAAGAAGGAGAACCTAGGCTGTTTGGTCATTGGCAGAAAATAAGTCCTTATCGAGTTCTTTACAAAACATGAACCTCAGTTATTTTCTACATTTGCTTTCCACATCTTGAGAAAAGCACAATGAGTCTGTCTCCGAAAGCCCCACATGGTCTCTGGTGAACATTTAATTCCAAATATTAGCAAAGTTTCTGTTGCTCTTTTTTTCTAATGGAAAAATGTACACCAAAATAGCAAGTAGTGCTCTCTTCACTAATTCATAAGTGGTCTTTTCCAATATGTGGGTACACAGCGGCACACTTCTTCACTAAAATAAAATCCAGCATCACAGCGTTTCGTTCGGACTGTACACGGTGGTCTGTAACAACTAAAGAAATGAAAAAAAAAGTGGGCATTAATATAACATGATCATTAATGTTAACCTGGAGTAGAAAACTGTGTGTATTTAGATTGCCATTTTTCAATGGGATATTTAATTTCTACAACTACTTATCTTTTAACTTCTGTTTACGTTCTTGCAACTACTTTTAATTGGACTATTATTCACAAAAGACAATGAAAAAAATAATGAATGCTGTTGAAAAGAAATTATTCTATTTGCAACAGATACTCATGAATATGTTTAACATATTGACTGGTGTAGTCACATTCTAATCTTAAGTAGTATTTTAAAAATTTAATTTTGAAAATACAGTAATATTTTTTCTGTACTCAGATTAGCTTGTTATGACCTACTGCATGCTGGCAGTTTGAGGTGGCAATTCAGAATTGGGAGATAATGAAATCTACTGTCTTCTTACCCAGGACTGTTTCTCACCTTATTCACTAATGCAATAAGCCCGAGAGAGATCTGTCTACATATGTTACGTTGTGTCTCTGATCTTGAAACTGGGAACATACTTCCTTATGCAAACTCCTATAGCCACCCTCTGAGGCCAGTGGGAATATATCTACACTTCATATCACATCCACGTGCATTCTGAAGTAAGATCAGAGCCTGCATGTTTATGGTACATCTTAAAGGAAAATGAACAGAAATAGTCCCTATTTGATTAAAATAAGTTTAATAGAAATAGCAAATAAAACCACAAGTCACAACTACCTAAGAAGCAGAAAAATTTTTCTTCACAGATTCCTTGACTGAAAAATAGAACTTATACAAAGATAGTATCTGTGGTTGTCCCTGAACTCTTCCTTTTCCTATTTTATTTTTCTATTAAAACAAGAGCTTGACCTAAAATAACCTTACAATAACAATGCTAAATACTTTCTGGTGTATAATGGGAGACAAAGTACAAGTCTGGGTTTTTTTTCAGACGCTGGCAATGAGTCAAAAGACAAAAGTATATGTTTTGAATTTCAACAGAGTTATACTTAAAACTTGTATTTAAATAATGTGTGCCTGTTTGTGAAACACTGATATTATGATCTATACTATAATTCATACTTACTTCAGTTCAAAGACACTACAGTACACTATATTAAGGCAATGTCACTATCCTCTTCCCTAGATAATTCTTGTTTCAGGCTTGTGGCTACTGCTATTACTGCTGCAGATAAGTTAATATGTGGTGTGCTCGTTTTGGATACCATATTTCTACTTTGCAATAATCTGTTTATGATATGAGGTCTGGATTGCAGTTACATTAATTCATGCCAGCTACTTCAACCAATGCACCTGGCTATGAGGAAAACAATAAGGAATGAGGAAAACTGCAAACATGATATTTCAGTGTTTTTAATGTCATTATTCATAGATTAGTTCACAGTGTGGCCTCTATAATTAAGGGAGTAACATTATTTTGTGCCACTTAATATAGATACTTGAGATCAGTGTAATAGCTCATGAGAATCTCTCAAAGCCCTACTGATCTTTTGTGCAATAAAGCTGTAAAAGGCAACAAACATGTTGCCAAAGGATCTAATACTCTGCGCAAACAGGCAACCAGTAGTAGGTCTGTTCTGTGAAAAAGGTACTCCATAGAGATGCAATGGATGAAACACTGAACTCACTTGCCTTTTTGCCCATTTCTGCAATGAAAGTTAGACTATTTCATGTAATGAATGACTGCAAAATGAAATAAGAGAAAGCCAAACTCTTCCACCCACGAATGACATGTACAAAATGAAAAGTAATCATGTAATCATTAAATTTGAGCAGTTCACTTTGTTTAGGATTCATGCCTCCTACTGAGCTGTGAACTTCAACTTAACTTACAGCTGAGTGCTATAAAGCATCTCTCACATGTGAGTTTGCATCTAGCAGCAAACAAAGTTGGGTTACTGCAGTCTTATCCTTATTTGGGACATTTTGACAGAGAAAGAAAGTCCCTCTCCTCCTCTAGAATGCTTTGCAGCTGTAGTGTCTAGTTATAATGGTCCTGCCGAAACTGACCAAAATAAATTTTTGAGGTGATAGCACAGGGTGCATAGCATTGTAACTACATACATGTGATTTCCCTAGGAAACTCTGCTGAACAATAGACCAGGTCAAAAGACTTGGGCTGAATGTTGTTTACGGAGAGTTTTCATGTGCAGATGTCTGTTTTGGTGAGGACAACCTGAGCATGCTGGAGCTAAGATAGATGTTCAATCAATATGTACAGTTCTGAGTGAGTCAGTGGCAACTTTCTTTCTATGGTCAGTAATGACGAATTTTTGCTACTGAATGCTCCAGTTTGTCATTTTGGGCAGTCTAACAACTCCACAGATGAAATCAAAATAGAAATGCTACTTTTAGTGGCAGTAACAGCATGATCACTTCAAAAGCCTGTATGCTTGATGGTGGGTATTTTTTTTTTTTCTTCCTGTCCTGTGCTTTGTAAATGACTTTATATTCCTTCCCTCTGGAGCAGAGTATATAACATTAGAGGCAGAGTCATTTTAAGTCCAGTGCATAAAAATGTTGGTGCTTCAGAACCAGAAGGTACGAGGACTACTTCTCCGCATGGGGAGCTCCCTAGGACATGGCTACAGGATTCTGCTCCTGTCTGGGTCTCAGGCATCTTGCACAAAGTTAAGAGTGGTACCTCCATTTCTGTGGTCTCATAACACCAAGGGATCTTTCTTTCAAAGACAAAAGGATGTTGCAGGGTTCTTATTCCTTTTAGAGAAAGCTTGTGGAGGACAGAGCCAAAATGTGAGAAGCCTATGCTAAGTCCTTTCTTAAGGAGGAGGAGAGATTGCATCCTCTATTTTTGCCAACAGTGCTAACTGACAGGGCTATCAGTTGTAGAGCTATAGAGTAACACCATATGCACACAAATCTTTCTTTCTCCTCACAAAGATGAACTGACTTGAAAAGATAAACCACTAAAAACATCCTATATCACACTGTCCTTGGAAGTAAGAAAGTGATCCAAATTCTTTATGGTATTCAACCACAATACCACAGAGAAAAACTGGGCTCAAATCACTTCAAATACTAAGTCTTTAAATCAACAGAGGTGGCATCAGGTATTTATTATGGCTTTTTTAAGCTTTTTTAATGCCTGACTTTTCCAGTTGTGAATGTTCTTTTAAAATACACATAGTTTATATGTGTGGCACTGCTGGAAGTGCACACTACAGCAGTGCTGAGGCGTTGGAATATGCTAAAGCTCATGTAATCAGGTTGATTTATTTTCCTCTGCAAACATAAATGGAAATGAAAACTGAACGATAGAGAAGAAATGACTTCTTATGTTTCTAACAACTCTGCTATTCCACTCAAAAGGCCAAACATAGGAAAACAGGTAATGCCAGTTAATATTAATCTTTTACCCTATTTTAGAGGCTTCAACACAGGTGTCATTTCTAATATTAGACATTTTTTTCTAGAACTAATGTATATATATCTGGCAATATATTTATGCCAAATAATTACATTTAAAAAATACATAAGGTTTACTTTTGAAAAGCAACAAATTACCACAGATACTTAAATATCCCAATTTCTTATTTTCCATTTCCAGTGCCTGAACTTTTCTAGAATTGTTATTTGCCATTAATATTATAGAGATAATTCCCATATATTAATAAGTGATCTTTCTGCTCCAGATGGCACTGCTTCTGTTTTAAAAAATTCACTTTACACGAAAGCTTTCCTCACAAAATACACTTAGCAGAAATAATATTTTTTGTTTCTCAGAACCTAAAGTCATTCACATTTTTATATATAGACTGCTACCGCTATGGGTGTAGCAGTTGTGGAAGGAAAAGCTCCTGTGATATATAAAGAAATTGCAGTTTTCTTCCTGACCAAATCCCATTTTAAATGATGAATGTGGGCAGTCTGTTTTATAGTTATATATGTCTACTTTTCACAGAAGTCACCCAGAGCTATAAAAGACTTTTTGTGCACTCATAAATCTTTGGTATCAGCTAAGTGAAATGAAGAATATACAGAAATTTAGGAAGTGATAGTGAATGATGCTATCCTTCAGAACTAACACCTGAAATATAATTAGGAATACTTGAGTTACCTGAATCGCAATGTTCAGCTCTTGGGAAAAATAGAGTGAGATTTTAAGTAGCATAAAAACCAGGGAACTTGAACTTATAGCTCATTTTCATAAAAAAAAAAAAAAATAATCACATGAAGTAATAGTAAGAGTACAAGAAACTAGACAGGCTTTAAAATACTCTGCCTAGTAGGTTCCTCAGAGATGATAAAAGTCATAGAAGATAAAGCTGAACTGAAAAGAGGCTTACTGTTCACTTAAGACTGCAAAGTGAATCAACAAGACAGCTAACAACACAGCCCAAAATTTTATACATTAAACATAATGAAAGGGCTAAAGACTGAGTTTTTACCTGCACGTCTGGTGATGGAACCTTTTTCCTTTTAAGAAACATTTATTGGGAGATTCTATACATTCACAGATGCATTTTGCAGGATTTAGTGGCTGATGTTTAGGACAGGTCTTTTTACACACACACTGGCACTTATCTTCATCAAATTCCTTGTTGGGCCCACAGGAAGTGGGGAGAAGTTTGTTTTTGCACATGCACTGACATGATGATCTGTCTAATTCTTTGTGAGGTCCACAGCTTGAGGGCCGCACACCTCCTCTGCAGACACATTGACAGGTTTCTTCATCCAGCTCTTTGTTTGGTCCACAAATATGGAATCCTTCAGATGTGTCTAGACATACAGCAGAGAAGTTGCACAGTTACTAGAATTTTGTGTCTACCCAGTCACCTATTTTTCAATGAAGAAATGACAGCAAACACACACCTTTTAGGGTGTTTTAAGAAAAAATATACGTCAAAAGACAGGCAACAACCAGTAATAGTTTTGATAAACAAAAAGATTCAACTATTTACTTTTCATGTTTTAATTTCTCTTTTAGGTAAATCAAAACATGGAACTACATTTAAACCTTTAAGCAAAACTGCTTACCAGAATCTTCAATGTGAGAAGAGAAACCCAAATCATGCTGTGACAAGCATCTGCAAATTTGATTATTCCAAATATGATTTTTTGGACAGGTCTTGTTTGCCACATGACACCTGTAGAATGAAATATATTGTTGATTTACTACCATAAGAACTCAAGGAAAAAAAAAAAAAATTGTAGATGCTGATTATTTTTGTTTCCCTCCATTATAAAAACCTTTCGGAGAGCTTCAATTCTTTCATAGTATTATTTTTAATTCCTGTCAACTCTGTTACTAATTAAGGTTCTCCCCACTACAGGAATCTTCAACCATTTTTTGAAGATACCTTCTCACATTTCAAGTTTTAGCTCTAACTTTTAGAAGCTGATATTTGTACTTTCCCAATGCAGTTTGTAAACAGATCTAAACCCTTGAATGTAAGTCTTATATAGAAAATAGACCAGTATAAAAAGTACTTGCATGCCAAATACCACATAGGTGGTAACAGGCATAATTTTCCACGTTATTTTTTGAAGTACAAAAATGTTCTCACACATATAGATGTCAAAGGACAGTGGATAATAATTTCTGAATGAATGCTGTAGACAAAACTCTAATTTCTAAAATAAAATCAGTTTATCACATTCTTTTCCCCTTTACATGAAAGTTATGTGCTACTAACTGACTCCTCATCAGCCACTCAAATCCTGGACAGCTTTCTTGAATCTGAAGCTTTGGACTTCAGCAGTGATGCCTCTTCACTTTAGAAATGAAAGACAATAAACAATTTAACAGTTTAGTTCTCTTTACCTGGTACCGAGTTTTTCAGCCAGGGTAGTGGTACCAAAGAAAGCAAAAAAACCTAACAGCAGCTGGTGGCTTTTTGAAAAGAATGACTAAACTTAGCTAGTAGGTGCACCACAGAGAGAACATTTATATGTATTATCTCATCTTCCTTGCTTGCAATTTCTTTATCACCACAGGTGACATGACAACTTTTAACATGTCATGCCTAACTTCATGCATGCAGGATGTGTCATTTATTAATTGTTTCTTTAGTATTTCTAAAATCCTCATCTGGTAAGGCAGCGCATATATCACAAATTTTAAACAGTTTTCATTCCCCTGAGCACAATTACTCATGCATTCAAAAATGCAGGTGCTGGGACATTCTTCCGTGATAATCGTTCAAGTATACCACTCCCCTTCACCACATTAAACAACTCTTTTGCTTGTAAAGACTGCTGTAGTTTAACATCACCCTGCATCGCCTCATGTTTTATCAAGTTGGTGTTTCCTGATTTCATACGCTAATGATCTCACTCTTGCTCCCTCACTTGGCACATACGCCCTTTTGCCTGCCTCCTTATTTCTGCTTGAAAAATAGCACAGATAATTTACAGACATATTGTATTGTTTTTTAAAAAACCTCACACCTGGAACAGCCTGGCTCTAGCCAGGAGCGTTTAACTACAGAAGGAAGCCAGGATGACAGTATGAAGAAAACACCAAGTCCACTTGGACCCATAAGAAGACAATGTTGATACAAAACCCAAGTTACCAGAACTTGAAGAGAATGATACGTATTTCAGTATCAGGGTTGGAGACACCCAGAAAAAGGAACTGGAACTGCTTGTTTACCAATTGTACTCTCATTGTCAGTACAGAAAATTACTGGGGGATATGGCTTAAACTTTAAAATGACTTTTGGTAACATTTTAGCAAAGTTTGGGAAGGCTAGAAAAAAATATCAGAGGCAAAACTACTTTGCAGAAAAAAAAAAGCACCACGCTAACTTGTTACCTGTCAGTGTCAGGACAGATAATTCACAAAAGGGGGAAAACTTTTAATGTGCACAACATACGTCCAAACCATGTCTAAGATATGCTTATGAGCTCTGTAAGCGACTACCTACAAAACATGGGAAAAAAAGGTCATCATAGAGACCTGATCTGAATTGTGTATATTGAAGGCTCCTCAGCTCTCCGCTCCCCCAAATTGCTAAGCTTCTAAACCAGAGTGGCAATTCTGTAACTCAGTTGCATGTTTTGATAACATTCTATATAAACAGAGAAGAGTACAATCTAAGATACCATTAATTCAAGAGGTATTCTGAAATACCGGTTAACATGAACTGACATGTCTCAACTCCACAAGCATATAGAGGTAGCTACTAGTTTTTATAAGGGAAAAAGATAATAGGCAAAGACCTAGACCTTAATTCTCAGGATAAAGTTGTGCAGAAAATATTTTTAATATAAAAAAAGATTGACTATTTGTCTTCTACTTTACATGTCATTTCCCTCTTCTAACGTGTCTGTGCATTGTGGCATAATCCAGCCTTGAATTCTTATTAATCCCAAGGTTACTACCCTAAAACCAGAAATTATACTATGTGACTTTTCAGTAATAAATAAGGAAGCTGTTACGATATTTTTGATAAAATGAGCATGTAAATAAACACATGCACACGTGCAGATCTGCCTCATGATAATACATTTTCAAGTTTTGGCTTTACAATAGTTTCATTAGCATTCAAACCTATAAATAAAAACATTAAGGTAAAATAAGACGTAGAAAAGAAACCAAGAACTTTAGTACAAATTAAAAAATCCCAGTGGGATTCTGAAAAGCATCCAGGCACCCAACCAGGAATATGCAAATATCTTTTCCTTCTAGAATCTAGAAGCACTCAGCTTGGTTTTGTTTGTTTGTTTGTTTTCTATTTTATTCTAAAAAGCCACTGATTTTAAACATTTAAACATAGATTTTAAACTAAGACAGTATTAACTGTAGAGAAGGCCTGTATATATTCTGGTCTAGTCTTTCTCTGTCTTACCTTTGTTGAAGCACGATTCCTTACTCACAGGACAGCAAGCTACCTGTGAGTGCTGGTCAAGTCTTGTATCTGTATGCTTACTTCCCTTACAGCTACAAGTAGCTGTTTCTTGGCTAGAATAAACTTTTGTAATGGTAATTACAACTGCTCTTAATCTGGAAGCACTGAGAAGCTGCCAACAGTCAGCATAATTTGACTTTATTATTGACTCTTGGGTTGATTTTTTATAATGTTAATTATACAATCAATTAAATTATTAATACATATATTTCTTAATTTCTTTCTAATCCACTCTTTATGAGCTGTGTTTTGATGAACAAATTAATTAATTTTAATTCAAATAGAATATAGTTCATGTTTAGCTGGACATGTCAGAAAACATCCAGACTTTAACTGAATGAACCTAGTTTACATCTCTAGGCATTTTGCACTATCCACTCGCCTTATTAAAAATGTCTACAACTAATTCCAGTTCAGCTTCTAGTCATTGGTTCTTCCATAAACAAACTGCTAGTCTGTTGCATTATTTTTGGCCTCCCAAATATTTATACATCATTAAATCATCACTCAGTCCTCTAAAGTGAAGGGAAGGAGTTCTTCAAGTGTTTCAGTAACACCTACTTCAATGCCAGATTTCTTCTGTGGCTCTTTTCATTCAAAATCACCAAACAAATCAATATGCTAGTTCTGTGGACTGCCAATGAACCCTTTATTTTCCCTTCCCATTCTGTTTTATTTTCACCTCTGGCATACAAAGATGTACAAAAAGATTTGTAGTTAAAGATTCCTTAAAAACAGGCCTTTTTTCTAACAGCATTTTAAATAAGAAAATACAGTTTGAGAGAGAAATGTTGTCTATTCCTTATTTGCAAAAGTAAGTATTTTTAGCTTTTCTTGATCACTTTTTAAAAATGTTGATTTTATTGATGTTCCCTTTAAGCCTCAATTATGTTATAGATCTTTTCATGAAACAAGCCCTACAAAAAATTATTCTTAAATTTTAAATCATCTAGCCCAAGTTTATTCACTGGATAAAAAAGGTGATGTTACTTCAGTAACATTCTCTTCATGTAAATTAATATTAGCTCCTTTGTAACATGCATTCTGCTACTACTAATGTGTAATTCACCTACTAAGTTTATCTTAATTGTGAAAGCTTCCAGCAATATTTTAAATCTAATTATAGAGGCTTGCTCAATGTGAAAAGGAAGACAAGTCTCATACTTACTGAGTTTGTGTTGCTGGCAAGGAACGTCTTATGATAGAATGAACTTGTCTGTAAACATCCAACTTTGACATGCATCGGCAGGACGTGTGATTGGCAAAACTGACAGTTACAGGTTTGGGGCCTTGAGAAAGAGGCACTGTGATCTCAAACAACTACAAAGGAGAAAGCAAACAAAAGAACCTTTTTTATACATCAGTAACTGTACCTATAAAAATAACGACACACAAAAAAAGCTATAAGGAATTTAGGTTTTTCTGCTCTACCATCATTCAGTGGCATATTCAATTATACCCTTAAATAATAATCATGTGCAAAATGAATTCAATAGCTATTGTGTGATAATTAACATTTTTAGTGTTAAACCCTGTTTATGTGCCCATTTGTTTACTGTAACATTTAAACTAATGTTAAAAGACAAAAATGTATAAAGAACTCATTTTTCTAGAGGAAATGACTTCAAATTGGTAGCCTTTTAAAAAAATCTAAAGCGTTACATTTGGAAGGTGCTTCAAAAAGTTGGAAAACAAGAATAATTTATAAAGGGAGTAAGCTACAACCTAATACATCATTTGTACAACTACAAAAGCTTGTGTAAAACAGCAATATATTGGACTTAGATCAAAACATTTATGGATGAACAAGTTTTGAACTGCAGCATACTGTATTTTTGACTTTCCAGTATCAATGCAAACTGTATGATTACCCTAACAGAATGCATCTTGAACTACTATTTTTTTTCAAGATATTATTAAATATCCACTGTTAATAAAATAATCATGTATGTGAATGAATAAAATCCTAATTTTAGTGGGAAATGTAGTTCAACTGGTGGAAAAAGGCAATTTCACAAATACCTTGTGGAAAAACTGAACATGTGACAACAGACAAACAGTGATACTTGTTTCAGTATTCAGTTCAGGACATCTACTTTATCAAGAAGGTTTCACTGTAAGACTCAAATCTCAAGAGTCTCCTGAAAAGTTACTTCGGACAAGTACTTTAGGTCAATGTCTTAAGACTATTTTTTTTTTTTTTAATAGGATAATAGTGTACTACTGTTGCCTTTTAGGTCCTTAGTCACTTTCTTAAATATATTTAAGAATATTTCTGCATTTTCTGGGGACTTTACTAGTTTAAAAACACTGTCACTGGTTATTATTCCAGTTTCAGTTGATGTCTGTAGAACAAGACTTTAATTTTTAGCTGAGATATATTTGCAATGTTTTTTTATAATCAGTAACTTTACAGTATGGCATATAGAGCACATACAAATGCAATCAAAATACTGGTAATTTTAAAAGACTCAAAATATGAAGGACATCTACAGAATGTCCTGAAAACAGTACTTTGCACTGAAGTATGCAAGTGAGCCTGAACACTAATAAGCACGAAGGTATAACAGTATGGGATGTATTCACCAAGTACCCACAAGGTAAAAGGGCACTTGTGGACTCAACAATAAAGCTCCTACTATTGATATATCTAAACTATGCAACTTAAATTGTATAAAGCATCATCAACTCCAATAGATATTATCTATTTTACAAAAAAAAAAAAATTGACATAATTTAGTGACTGGATCTTTAAAGAAGTTTAACATTAGGAGTGTCATCATACAAGAACCGAAATGGCAAAAGTATTATATTTGCAGTTTATTCTGTTACAGAAGATTACAATGCTATTATTATTTGCTGTAAAAAGTACCACATCCCTTACATTAGCTTTAAATGTGGGTTTTTTTGCCACTAGAATCTAAAAAAACCCCTGCTATATGTTTACTTCTGTAGAAGGAAATCCAAAGCAGAAATAGTTTCCTGCATCTTTCAAAAATTGACGAAAAATCCTATCCATCTAGGAAGCTACCATGAAGAGTTTCTCTTGTTAGACAGACTTCTAACCAAAGCATATTAACACTTGGACTCTTGCTCCAACTGCAAAGTCAGTAACATTTCTTAAAATTTTGGTCTTGAGGCATTAAGGTAAGGATACACGTCCATGTCTAGCTTAAAGTTTGGTACCAATAAAATGAATGCCTAATTATTGTCACAGACTTCTGGACACAAAATTTCTAGCTAACTTTTATTATACTTATAATACTTTTTGACTTCCAAACCAATATTGGCTCCTTTACATCTTTTATAAAAGTTCATTCGAATTAATCACAACAGGCACTTACCAAGATACCCTGTCCAAAAAGAGAAAGAATCATAACCCAGAGCTATAATTTTCATACTAATATGTTATAGGAAAATATGTACTTATTAATTTATTTTAAAAATATCTACCTATTTGAAGGCTATCATAGGTTTTGTTATAATGCACAAACTAACTAGGAAATTGGAGAAGAGGAAGGTCGTGTTGTAGATCAAGAGACAGAAAAGACCATGTTTATGAAAAATAGCTTTCATTTCTGCATACATTACACATTTGAGAAAATACATGCAGAGTTCTTTGCCTGTTTTTTAAATACTGATCTTCAATCAGATGACAAAACTCACCTACATATGCAAGACTAGCATCTTTTTTTAAACAAGTTGTGCTTTTAGAAGGACATCACAACTATTGACACCTGAAAATCTGGACAGCTAAGAATCTACAGATGTAACAGCCTTTACTATATTAAATATATCACAAGTAAACATTCTTAAAAGATATATATGAATTGAGATGCAGAACAAAGAGTATGGACTTAATTACAATATTACACATATAAAGAGAATCTTGTTTACTCTGCTCTCCTGTGACGGTATGAACTTGCTTTTCTGAAGCTGAAGTAAAAACTCCCTATAGGGAGAACTGATAAAACTTAGAAACTGAAGCTAAGCATCATTCTTTGCATGGACCAAACTGCAGCTGACTAGAAAATTGAGCATGTCTCATTCTCCCTCTGTTTTTGGAGCAGATCAGTTTCCCAAGCTGCAAGGCATAGCAGACTCCAGACTGATGGAGATGGTAGTGTAGGACTAATGCTACAATTCCAAACCACCTAAAAGAGGTCCCTGTCAGCCCAACTGTCCTCCTGTTCAGCTTCAGTGCACTGAGATAAATTTCATTAAAACACCTGAGACATATCAACTGTGAGCAGAAATGATGGTGAACATGAATTATCTATATTTATCCTTCCATTTAAACTGTGAAAAGTATCAGTTTAGAGATTAATATTGCTAACAACTATTCCCATCAACGCTTTAGTGGTGTAATGTAAGAAAAGTCTAGTTAAACAGTGTAAAGGTATACTAGCTTCCTTGACATTACTGAATTACCTTCAGTTTGTTCCACTAAATTCTACTAATAGCAATGTATTTTACATCACCCAATGGTAGCTACTGTTTATCCATAAATCCAAAGAAACCTAAGGTAACTATTTATGTTAGAGATTAAATTATATTTGGTATTACATTTCTACCCTTCGATTTTGGAAAGTGCTTAAGATGATACATGAACCAACATTTTGAAAAGGAATATAAAACATATATTTTAATTGATGGAAACTATGGAAGTGAAATACTGGGGTTGGAATTACTGATTTGTTCTTCCTACACTTTTGTCTGCACATGCTATTAGGATACCATATTCTGATGCATACTGAAAAAGGAAATATTTACTCTTCTGCTAATAAAAATATATCAAGAGATTTCACAAGAAATAAATTCTTGAACACTAGTCTGTTACAGAAAAATGTATTTAATACTCAGAACAATTAATTTTAAACAATCTCTGACATTTTAAAATAAGATCCATTCTAAAGAATATCTGTATTCTGCTCTCATCTGTGGTAGCAGCATCTCTAAATCCAATGAAGCTATTTAAGTGAAACTCTCAATTTAAGTTAAACTCTCAATATATATCCCCTTAATAAATAATTTCAATTTAGGTAAGATATGAGCTTGTGCAATGCTTTCTGGTTTTGTTAACATCTCTATTTATTGCTCATCTTCCTTGTTCAATAGAAGAGTAAGCTCAGCAGCTGTTGCCACAATAGGGCATGTTTGGCAACATATAACAGTCAAATGTCAATATCTAGAAAGGATATTTCTATGAGAAATGCACTATAACATCTGTGTATGAGGCTGCTTCTTGACTCCCTTCTTTTCTGGCAACATTGCTGGCTGTGGGTACTATTGCTGTTACCCACATTGCCCAGGTGGGTACCTCTTCTTGGAGATCAGATGGGTCATATTTCTGTCTGATCCCTCATTCAGTAAAGGATTGGTTTTACTGTATTCTTAGAGGCCCAAATCTTCTCTTCTTTCACAACTTCAAATCATAGTAAAAATTGGACTAATTCACACTAAAAGCAATGAGAAAAGACATTTCCTTCAGGTCTGTTCTTCAGGGACCAATGCCTAAAGACAGACATTCAGGACTGAAGATGGCAAAGAAAGAGCTTCAGTCCCCAGAAGAACATGAGATCTGAGAGTAGGAGGGAATAGTTTTTTTTTTTTTTTTTTTTTTTTTTTTTCTTCAAAGTGGAGAACTCTAATTGCTCACAGTTTTCAGAAAAAAATGAAGTAATTACAGTACATTAAACAGCAAATTAAAGGACATTAAATTAGTATTGCTAGAGTTAGAGGCAAATACTCAAAAGGTGAAAGAAGAAAAGTAGACTTAACTTGTCCATGTGTCCTGTACATTTGTGCTAGCAACACTGCATTGTCAAGAAATCAGTGGAAAACAACTGAAGCAGTATGCGATAGCATAACTAAAGAGTATTATATATAGTAAGAAAAAATAAAAATTAAATCACAAAAAATCACAGTCAGAGCTCTGTCCTAACCTCTTCCACAGAAGTTCATATCATAACTCAGTAACATAGTGTTAATCTCAGTGTATTACACATACTAATGGAAGCTCTACGTAACCGAAGAACAGTTGAAAACCATGCACGGTTATTGCATTTCACAAGAACTTATGCCAGAACAAGAACACATGCCATTCAACCAGTCTAAGGCTGTTTTGTCACAGAAAGACAGATGGCAGGTCTTCCAGTCTTTCTCACCATTTCTAATTCTCTTCACAGTACCGTGTTCAGCCCTTGCCTCCTTAGGCCTTCACCCAGTATGGTGATTCTCCATGCCAGCTCCCCTCCTCATTTCAGCCCAGCCAAAGTTTCCCTTCCAGCAAGTCCATGAAGCTTGATTTCCTTTCCCTCTTTCTGGGCTTCTTAGCATAATTTTTAGCATTCTGGTACACACACATATCTTCCCAGCTACTTTTGGATCCATCAGGTTCCTTCTTTCTCAACAAGATAAAGGTGAGTGTATCAATGACAGGGTCTCCCTAGAAGATGGAATTTAGGTGCCTAGATCTGAAGCTGCATCAGATTTTTGTTCAGCTCCAAGTTATAAAGTGGTCTAGTTACAAATAAATCCAAGTCTCCCAACAATTCCATCTGCCTCCTAGGTATTTTTTTTAACACTTAAACATATGCAGATTGTCTCAAAGATAATAAAACATTCCTAATACAAACAACTATTATATCTTTTACTTAAAATAAAGGAACGGGAAAAATTTTTGCAGGTAAAAAAAAAAATCCCTGTTTTTGACAATAAAGCTATTTATATTTCTTTCTCATTCTGCTCTAAGAAAAAGCAGAACCACCACTTCTGCTGAAATTTTAAATAAATAAATAAAGTAAAAACAACACATCAAGCTAAGTCAGACATCTGGCAGAGAAGATGTCAAGCCTTATTGTTAAGAAATAGCAAAGTTAGGCTGATAGTTGGTAATGGAGTATGTTGGGTAATCTTAATATTAGGCTACTTAAACTAGGGTTGTTTACCATTGAACAAGATTATGTGTGACTATGTGTTTCCCGTATTTTTCTCTGTCATGAAAAAATTCAAGAGCCTTGTACAGTAGATGGCTTAATTAGAAATTGTGTGCTAAAACCACAACAGTCATTAGTACTATATGGATTTTTTTTAAAAAAGTTTTGATTGTAGAACATTTTTTTTTAAATTATTTTTAAAGGATATGTATTTTCTGGCTCTGACCATTATCAAGATGACTTTATAACTGTCTTTCAACCGAGACAAACCTGAAACATTTATCCTCAAAAATGAAGGAAGGTAATTTTTCTTCATACATTTGGATTAGACAATCTGTAATAAGGTGTATTTTAGGCTTAATACTTAACCTTCATTTCACTGCACCAGCCTAAAGTAAATGGCAGCATATCCTACAGACATGAATATCAGCTTTTTATGCTTGTATTTTCTGCTTCCTGGTACAAGCAGGTATATAATTAAAGAACTCTTCAGACTAACACAAAGGTAAATGAATAATTAGATCACTTGTACAATTTTGTGCAACTACAAACAATTTTTTTCCCTGGATTTGCATTCTTTTACACGTCAGTTTTTTAAATCAGTGCATATGCTCTGTACTGTACTTCTCAGGGGAGAAGCACAGGAAGAAGACATCAGGCAAAGGTGTCTCTGAAATGCTCTGCCCAACCAGACCTGGCCTTTGGCACTCTGCAACCTGCAATTACTGTGACAAGTGCACCAGTCCCCTTCTTCCCAACTTTGTTATATTTCTTCAGTCATCCTTGAAAGAGATTCCAGGCCAGAGCTGCATGGTCCTGCAGACCACCCTGTAGTAGGCTCTTTTCAGTTTCCACACCAGCTGTGCTCTTCCTTTAGCCATTTATAGATCTGGAGTGGAGAAACAAGGGTGGGACTAAAGTGTGGTCCACAACCTAGAGCTCAGCATGATTTTTAACCTTAAAAGAAATTAAGGAAAAAAATCCTAACAACTGATAGGAATCTCTGAATGCTTGACCAAAAGTGCTATCAAAATTCCTGTAAAAAAATTTTCCCTTAGAAAGGCATGTATTTTTGATTCACTGCATTGATTGCTCCTTCTTTAGACTACAAGGCCTTCATGCCATCCTTTCCAGAAAAAACACTGATTTCTATACAAAATTCCTTTGCTTCAGTGGCTAAATGAATTTATTCAGCACTATCAACATATATGCCTATATCCATTGTATCAGCACAAAAAAATTGTTATTATGTTCACTGACTTCTGAAATATCAATTAATTAAAACTGTTATTTTCATATCAGGATGATGGAAGGTTATTATTCTATATACTTTTCAAATGTAGGATTTATGTATGATTCTTTTTCCCAGATTTACATTAACTACACTACGTTATTCTGATGGACTGTGGTTTATTTTGGCAAGTTTCCCTTAAACTGATTGACTCTCAGTTTCCGTCACTTGTGATCTCTGCACTTCCTAAAGTATCAGTAAGGCTGGCCAAATACAACCAGTGTAAGAGAGAACAGTGTGTATAGAGAGCTTTTTAAGTTAAGGATATAAGACTGTTTGATCTCAAAACTCTAAACATCTCTATACTGGAAAGAATGAAAATAAGCTATTTAAAAAATTATTTATATTTGAATCACTTTTTTTTTTTCAGAAATTTTAACAAAAAACATTTTGAAATTATACTGATATATCTCCCACTATTAATAGTGCCTACTATATCATTGCAATTATCAGTCCAACATAGAAAAATGCATGGGAAAAGGCATAAATGGTAAAGTTCAAAATGACTTAAAATTCTTGTGACATATGCATCTCCAAATCGTGTAAAGGAACACCATGTACATCTCAAATATGGCAAACAATTTCAAGCTGTTAACTTGTTTCCTGTGAGAAAAGCTCCTCTAAATCTGATTTCAAACTGCTTGGAAAGATGTTTTCCCTTGAGGGATTATTACTGTAATCATGAAACAGGAAGATTTAGGACCTTTACATCAAATCATATGAAAGAAGCCAAAAAATTGTCCATTCTGCCAGCCAAGAGGAAGAATGGAATGTGATGGCTCTTTGACATGTACTCACTGCTTTCCCTCAACCTGTATGCAAGTATCTGTAGGTGGGACATAAAAAAGCAAGCTGAAGGACAAACTGTTGCTGCACCAGGTAGTTCCAATCTTTGTAACTGCTGTTGAATTACTCATGTCATGGAAACATAGAATGGTTGTGTGATTAATAACTAATAAGAGAAAAAACCAACACAACCACACCACAAAACCAACTAAACATCTTCCCCATAGACCTCTATTAGACAAGCCACCACTTACAAAGCTGTGTGACTGCTGTGTCACAGATAAAGGAGAAGAAAAAGAACTACTGCATTTTATGAATTAGCCTAGGGGGGTCCTCAAATGTTTTCACAGACCTTGTACCACATCTTAATTAAGAAATTCTCTCATATTCTAGTCTTGATTGTATAAGCACTCCTTAGAAACTACAAAAAACAGGGTTTTGTGGGAAAAAAAAGGTATTAAAAATAAAGCAAAATATTTTTCTATTTTTCTCTTAATAAAGTTAAGTAGATAGAAAGGAGGAACACAGCCCAAATTATAGAACTATTGACCTCTCTCTGGACCACCACAGTGTTCCACAAGCCAATCTGGGACCATCTGACCTAGTCTATTCTCCTAACAGTCAATGATTTGCTCCCCATAAAAATAATTTCTATGCTTAGATCTTTTCTTTTTAATTAATTTTGATGGAAGCTGATATCAACTTTTTTTTTAGAATTTAATGTCTGGAACCAATGTTAGAGCTTGCCCTCACAGCAAGACCTCCAGATGAAAAGTTAATTTCCCATTAAGCACTTTTTCTGCAGAGTGAAGTTATCTTACAGAGTTTATGCACCAAAAATAAAGCTACAAAGCTCATGAAAAAATGAAAGATGCCTGGTTACTAACCATTTGTTCTAATTTCATTCAGGAAATAAAAGGAAAACAGTAGTGAAAATAGGTGTGTAGGGTACCTGAATTCCACAGAAGGGTCTTGAATCCAACACTTTTTTTCTTCCTAATTCTCATCTGATATAGGGTAAGCTGTGGTCACATAACTTTAAAAAGATTTGAGATGATGACAGATGAAGAGATATAGCTATAGCTCTCTTCCTTTATTAAGTTTTGTGGGGGTTTTTTTGTGGTTTTTTTTTTTTTTTTTGTTTGTTTTTTTTTTTTTTTTTCAACTGCATTCTGTCAAGGACCAGATAAAACTGGAAAGCAGAAGCAAGATAGAAAACTCAGAAATTAAATTGCTTGCTTTTACAGAATAGGTAAGAAAACAAAACAATGCTATTGTGTCTATCTTCTTTCTGATAAATCCTTTAACATTTTCCTTCTCAGAGTCTCTCAAATCTTTAACTACTCCTATATCATATCATCACCAATGATATCAGGAACTCAGAAAAGAAACTCAGTACTAAACATTTTTTACTAGGCAAAAAAAAATTACTTCACTCAATAGATATGAAAATAAAGATGAATAGAAATGGATTGTTTACCCCAAACTGAAATGGTGCTCAAAGACCAGGAAATGTATGCTAAATAGAACAACTCTCTCTGTTAAATATATCAACCTTTATTCCAGTAAGCTAAACTTTAAAATGCATTAAAAAAAAAAAAAAAAAAAAA